ATTTTCTCATCTTCTCATCTTTCCCACTATCTCCTCCTATTGGTTTCTTATGATTTATCAATTGTGGTTTGTAACTTATGATGAATGATTGTAACTATGATTTATGACCTATGACCTATTACTTGCTGGTTATATGTACACTTGTGAGCTTATGCGCCAGAGACAAATTCCTTGTGCATTTGATCACTCTTGGCCAGTAAGGAATTCTATTCTAAATTGTTGAAACATTAGCAGGCCACATATGGTGATCGATGCCAGCCACAAGCAGTGAAAAGAGGATGAAGGTAAAAGAACATAACATACATTACTCCTAAGCTTTTGTGCATGGACATGGCCTTGTGTATGTGAGATAAGACTCCTAGTAACTGCTTGGACCAATCTATGCAGTTTGGCTGAGAGGAAACCACTGCCTTAAAGTCACCACCAGCTGGCTTCAGGCCTAAGGCAGGACCTTAGTCTTCCTGTTCCTAGCTCAGGGCTTTCTGTGCTGTGGCCTTAACCACTATACCAAATGGTTCTCACTCTTAGGAGCAAATAGGCACCCTTACAGCAGAAACAGGTATGGCCCAAATCAGTTTCTGTCCCTTGTTTAAAATAAAGGAATTGAGATCACTCAGAAGAAGAGGAATACATGTTTAGCTGGATCAGACTCCAAATAAGACAAAAATATATTTCATTTACTTAGAAGAATATCACTGAACTCCCGGGGCTTATTTCTTGATTGACATTGAATGAAACTATAAATATACTTCCTTTAACATCTGTGTTGATTATCTTGGGAATATGTAAATGTATTTAAATCTAGCTCATAATTGGTCAAAAGGCAGGTGATTACTTAGCTAAAACTCCTTTAATTAGCTGACAGCACTCTTAAATGCAGTCTGCCATATATGTAGAATGTTCAAATTAATTCTTGTTCATCAAATTACCCTTTTTTTATAAATTGTTTTTAATTTAAGACAACAACAAAAAAGGCAATAGGAATGCAAGGCTAAGATAGCTAAATGCATAGAGTTGCTCCACCATCATTCTTGATTAATTTACAGGATGATAAATTTACCCAAGCAAATGTATACTATCTTCAACAATTTATTAGCTTTAAAAATTATTTTCTTCATAACTCTGTGTTATTTCACTTAAAATAGATGGAGTGCTATGGTCAATGCAGAGTCCAGCTTTCCCTATCTGGCTCCTTCCAGATTGTATTGTAAATTCATTCCCCAGAATTTCTAGCCTACAGGGCAAAAGGCTGGGTGCTCTAGAATTGCAATCCTGACACATCTGGAGAACACCAAAGAGAAGAAAGGAAAATGTAGTGACTAGAGTTGCCTCGGGGCCACTTTCATGAAAAATACTTTCGGGAAGGTGTGAGCAACGAACATGAATCACTTCTGTGTGCAAAACCTTTTAATCAAATGGCTTATTATTCCGAAAAGAACACTTGTTCTTTTTTTCCCTCCCCCATTATGTGAGGCATGTGAAAGTAAGCTTATTGTTAAGTTGGTTTGCATGAGAAATGGGGTTTTCCAAACCAAGTGTTATAGTTGATTTATATCCTGCATTTTTACAAGATGGCAAACATATCCAACACATTTACTTTGTCCTATTTTCCCCACGTGTTATGTAAGGTGAGTTGGGCTGAAAGACAGTGACCGGCCCAAAGTGACCGGCCTAAAGTGGGACTTGAACTTATGGTCTTCCACTTTCTAGCCTGCTATCTTAACCACTAGACCACCCACTTCCTCTCATAGTTTTGTGAAAGTTTTGGTTTTGAAGTAAACCCCTCTGGGAAGTGGCTGGATTTACCAATTGGGATAAGCCTTGTATGGCTTTTATTGACTTGTATGGCTTTATCTTGGTATCTTGCATGAACCTGACTATTGTGGTTAATAAATCATGGTTTACAGTTTATTGTATTGTACAAATCTGTCCAGTGATTTATTGTCTGTCCTTTGAGGTAGACCAAGCTAGGGAAAACTATTATAAATACTAATCCTGGTCCTGGTCCTCAAGGTTATTCTTACATCCTATTCAACATGCTATGGTTTAATGAATTTAGTCAATGTCTGGAATACTCTACCCGACTCTGTAGTTTCTTCCCCAAACCCCAAAAACTTTAACCTTAGACTGTCTACTATTGACCTCACCCCTTTCCTAAGAGGTCTGTAGGGGGCGTGCATAAGCGCACCAATGTGCCTACCGTCCCTGTCCTATTGTTTCTCTTATTCTTCTTTTATTTTTCTTATATGTACCCATTTCATGTATTCACAACTATGTATACACTTATACTTATTATCTTGTAAACAATTGGCAAATCAAATCAATCAATAAATAAAATATTTATTTGCAACAGCAATTTGAGCAAAACTTTTAAAAAGGTGAAATGAGATGCCTTTGTCTGTCTTGTGTATCTTAGCAGACCAGGTATACATTCCTCATGATTTTTCACAGTTTGCAATTCTTTGAAATACTGAAGCCACAAAATGAATAGCTGCACTTTGCCTTGTACTAGCGGAGCCAAGAAGTGAAACATTTTGCGACAAGCATCTGTGAAGATTTCTAAGAATAAGACTCACTATATAGTTCGTCTGCTTTTCTCTGAAATCCTGCTTGGCTGACAAACTCGGTACAGATGGTGCCAGAAGGCCCCCTTATGCCAAAAAGAAAAAGGGATGAAGGCAAGGCATATTTTGTCTACGAATGGAGATAGCCGGCTTTTTTAAAAAATAGGTGTGGGCTAACATTATTACCTATTAGGATGAGGAGACTTAGGGTGCTTTGCAGTGGATCCCTGCCAAAACCTAGCTTGGATGCTCCCATTTCCTTGATATGGAAACCTAAGGTAGTGTTGCTGCTTTCATGGTCTCAAGTAAAGCAAGAAAGAGTGGAATAGCACTGGAGATCCCTGCCTTTCTTTAGCTTGGTTATTTCCTTATCAATTGAAGCTGTTTTAGGAGACAACTGGAATTCAAGAACAAGAAGCTAAACTTAAAGGCACTTGGGACCCCTAAATGTATTGATTTTATTTTTCTCTATATCAGCGGTTGCCAACAGGTGGGCCGTGAGAAAATTTTGATGGGCTGCAGAGAAATCTCACCCCCAGAGCACCCCCCCAAAGCAATTAATCCAGGCTGCGCGGAAACATAAGGCTGCTCAGCCCACATGGCCGGCAGGAACCCTCCCCGCCCACTCACTCCTTACCCAGCAAACTTGTCTGCTAAGTTGCTATTTTTCCTTTTTCCGACCATCATCTGTTCTGCTCTGCCAGGATATTTAGATTAGCTAGGAAGCAGGAAATGGTTGGATTTCTTGCTTTCTAGCTAAGCACAGCCGAACCTCCCTTAGGACTGAAGGTTTGCATGCAAGCAAATTCAGTGCAGATTCACGGCAAGCAAATTTGAGAGACTGAGCTAGCCGGTGGCAGATAGATAGATCACTGAATGATTCTGTGAGCAACTCAATCTGCCTACTTTGCCTGATTTTGGATAAAAGTTGCTCTTTTTTAAAAATAAAAAATTCAATATTTACATGCATGGTGTGTTTTGAGTTAATTTTGTGAGTTTGCTTGCTAGCAAATTTTGTGAGTTTGCTTGCAAGCAAATTTTATGTGACAGACTGAACAGATAGATAGATTTCTGAATGAATCTGTGATTCTGTGAGCAACTCAATCTGCCTGCCTGCTTTGCCTGATTTTGGGTAAAAGTTGCTCTTTTTTAATAAAAATTCAATATTTATATAAATATTTATAATATTTACATACAATCCATGCCAAGCCAGTCACATGACCACCAAGCCACACCCACAAATTAGGCCATGGCCACAGAACCACTTAGTGGTCCCTGGGATCTAAAATTAATGAGTTTGGTGGTCCCTGAGGTCCAAAAGGTTGGCGACCCCTGCTCTATATGGTATCTTGAAAATTAGCAGAGAGCTACCTTTGATGGAATATGAATACTAAAACATTGAAAAGCAGTCTTTTAGATATTAAGAATGCTCTGCTGAATTGGCAGGAAAAACATAATACATAAAGCATTCGCTTACAAAAAATTAGCTCCTGAGTAAAGGATTAGACAATCTAAACAATTCATTTATATTAACGTTTCTGATTTGGTGGCTCAGAATGATTGGAGGAGAATCTGAAGCCTCATGAAGAATTCATTAGATAGCTAATACATTTATAATAATACATTAATAATAAGCTGGGTAGCTAATAACAACATAAAAACAGCCATTTTAACCTATGATTTCAAGCAATCAGGTTTTCAGTTTTCTCCTAACTTCCCAGGAGGTTTCTGGTTTAGATTTTTTAGTATCCAAAATCCAGAATCATTTTTGTTGTGACTGGTATTTTAAGAATTGTTATTTGCACAGTTATTAAGCCGGTTGCTTTTTCAAGGTGGGTTTGGGGTGGAAGTATAGGACATTGGTAAAAGAGAGAAAATGATTGGAAAGAACAAAAATCCTATTGTATGAATGTTGAAAAGAGAAATGTAATGGCTTAAAAAAAAACTATGCCAATAAAAGTGGTGTCAGCAGCTTCCAAACTGTGGAGTCCTTGGTACTCTCTGAGCTTGGTTGTTTTCTTGAAAACATTTCATTACCAAACTAGGCATCATCATCAGTGCTAGCTCAGAGAGCATCAAGGACCCCACAGTTCAATCCTGAGCTACAAATATTTTCTTCTATCAATTTTCAAAGTGTGTTTGAAGTTTGTAAATTCCTGTAGTTCAGGCAAGGATAGTGAATGCTTCAATCTAAAACTGTGAATTCTGGATCAGAAATTAAACATTTGAAGGGCATTTCATGAGAGAAATCTAAAGATTTAACTTACAGAGCCTCTTTCACACAAACTACCAAAATAAAGTTAACTATGTTTTTAAGTAAAGCCAGATGTGTTCAGGTTGTTTTGTTTATTTAACATATTCACCATAAATTTGATTATGCGACTAATTAGAACATTATACTTAAATTTTCCTTCCCCTTGTCTGTTTTCTCTGCAGAATCTTATGGCAAGAGCCCTTTATGATAATGTCCCAGAATGTGCAGAAGAATTGGCCTTCCGGAAAGGTGATATTTTGACCGTGATAGAACAAAACACTGAAGGATTGGAAGGATGGTGGCTCTGCTCTTTACATGGCCGACAAGGCATTGTTCCTGGAAACCGTGTGAAACTTCTGGTAGGCCCTGTACAAGAGAGTCCATCTCACCAGGACTTGCCAAATTCAGGACCAGCAACTCAGTCCCCTAATCAGCAAAAAGTCTACCAAGTGCCAAATGCTCATACCTCTCCTCGGGATCCCATCTATCAAGTTCCCCCTTCTTATCTGAATCAGGGAATCTACCAGGTACCTACTGCCCACGATGTTTACCAAGTGCCTCCATCCGGGCAGAGAAGTTTTGGTGGAGTTGATGCAGGCAATAAGGTTGGTGCAGACTGATATTTCAAGCATCTGCTTCCAAAGCATTTGCATGAAACACATTACTGTGGAATTGAAAAAGCGTCTGAATTTGGTGAGCTTTTCTACATAAATGGCATTTAATGTGTCAGAAGGGAAGCATGTTTATAACCAGGAGGGACGAACAGCCATTGTGGTCAAAGCACTACAGGGATAATAGAATTAGACAATTCCTCTGAATTCTATCCTCTAAATGTATGTATTCAAATCAGAATTCAAATCAGAAACAGGAACGGTAGTTTGGACCAACGGTAGTTTGGACAGTTTGGGACTAGTCCCATACTAGCACAAATAATGCTTGACCACACACCCAAGGGACTTGTGTCTCTCTTTCATTCATGCTACAGAGTACGTGGAATTGAGTCAACCTTGATAGATTCCAAAGAATTGTAAACAAATGACCCTTAACTTTATTTAACTAATTCAACTCAAATTGTAAATTAACTAGCTGTATCCTGTTATGAAGACCTAAAATATTTAGGGGCTCCTATGGAAAGGATTAAGAATTTAGAATTGTGTGGACATAAATCCACACCGATAGTACTAAGTGTGGTTCACATTATCTGCAGCTTCCTAGAGCATATCACCTAGACACTTCGTTGGCCACACTTCCTTTATTTGTACCAAAATTATGCAAATACCAGCTTTAGATAAAAGTGCCTATTTGTTTAAAGAATTTAAGCTGCAGGCTACATGGAAAAAATGATGCAAGAGTGGCATTATTACTATGCCAGGAATAACAGGATGTCTGGATAACCATAATTAAAAGGGTAACTCAGTGTAAAATCTAGAGCAAAGAAAGTGTCACCTGGCACTCCTCTAGAGCGTTAACACGTCCTTGGCATGAGTCAAGGTAATTGCCTCTTAAAAGCTGGCGGAAAAAAATATTTATTTTTTAAATAAAACCTTTCCACTTCCTCTGATAATGAAACTGGAAAGCAGAATATTATCAGAATATTCTTGGGAATACTTAGGTCTTTTTATTTAGCCATTATGAATGTGTTACAATGACATACAACAGCTAGGAAGTACAAGTCTGGCAGTGCCAAAGTTTAATCTTAACACTGCAGTTGATAGGAGCAGAAGTTCTGATGGCCTTTTCAACTGTGAATCCTTCCAGCTCACCTTGAATCACACACCCCATTTAATTTAGAATAACTCAAATTCCATTTTCTATTCAGCCTTTTTTTGGGGGGTGGGGTGGGGTGGAACCTTATCTGATATTTTGATTGTGGATTCCTCCCTCCTTCCCCCATTGCAATCGACATATTTTCTATAGACAACAAATTACTTTCTTGTTCATTTGTTTACTGGGCAAACCATCCAGAGATACCTGATTTAATCACGGGGGGAAATATTTGTGTCCATTTGGGGGAGAGGACAGAGATTCGAGGGCAGACAAGGAAATGAAATGGGAGTATAAAAACCCCACTGAGGCATAACCCATCTGTTCTAACCCTTGTCTTTACAAAAAATCTTTTCACAAATTACGTCACTAAAAATATTGTTACCAAATTTGGGCAGCTTGTGGGTGTGGGTGATTTGGAGATTGCAAAGTAGGATTTGGGGATAGCAGATGACAGATGGCCGACTGGGTTCTATGAATTTTGAAACTAGTGTAAATTATGTCGAAACTGATTTCATCTGCTTAACTAAATTCCAATATAAAATACCTTGATACGAAACCATTTCTTTGCCACTGCTATCTCTTCTTTTTCCTCCTCCTCCTCCTCCTCCTCCTCCTCCTCCTCCTCCAAAGTGCTACTCTGAAAAGGCTGACATCACTGTGTTGGAAACTCTTTTGGACTTAAACTATGTCAAAACTTATATTTGAGGAGTGACCGTCAAGTCAGTGGTGGCTAACTTTTTTGGGCTCCTGTGCTAAAAATTGTGCGCACACTAGCACGCATGCACTCACATGCCAGCACCCAAATGGCAATGTGCGCCCCACCTCCCCACGTCCTCTGCGCATGCACGTGCAATTCCCCCCGCCACCACCTTACCTGCACTGCGCCTCACAGCTGATTTTTTTGGCTGGTTTGAGGCCTTTTTCGGCCTCCCAGAGGCTTGCAAAAAGCCTCTGCAAGGCTTTTCAGGACAAATTATAGGCCCATTTCATCACTTCAGTGACCAAATGGGCCTATAATTCGTCCTGAAAAGCCTTGCAGAGGCTTTTTCCAAGCCTCTGGGAGGCCGAAAAAGGCCTCAAACCAACCAAAAAAATCTGTGAGGCGCGTGCATGTGCAGTGAGGTAAGTTTGCCTGCAGCTCGCGTGCCAGCACAAATGGCTGTGCATGCCACTTGTGGCACGCGTGCCATAGGTTTGCCATCACGGGTCTAGTGGATAGTTGGAGCCCAAAGCAAAGTTAATATGAATACAGATAGTCCTCAGCCTATGTCCACAACTGATCCCAACATTTCTGTTGCTAAGTAAGACAGTTGTTAAGTGAGTTGAGCCCCATTTTATGATTTTTTTTGCCACAGTTGTTAAGTGAATCACTGTAGTGGTTAAGTTAGTAACACAGTTATAAAGTGAATCTGGCTTCCCCATTGACTTTGTTTGTCAAAAGGTCTCCAAAGGCGATCACGAGACTCTGGGAAATGGCAATCATCATAAATATGAGACATTTGCCAAGTGTCCGAATTTTGATCGCTTGATCATGGGGACGTTGCAATGGCTGTAAGTATGAAAAATGGTAATAAGTCAAAACAAGTGCTGTTGTAATTTGAAATTGTCACTAAACGAATGGTTGTAATCCTACCTGTACTCAAGGTTAAAATCAAAGCCAAATTAACAGATAACAGGTAATCAGAGTTGGGAGGGACCTTGTAGGTCATCTAGTCCAACCCCCCACCCAAGTAGGAGACCTTACACCATTTCTGACAGATAGGAGTCCAATCTCTTCTTGAAGGTCTCAAGTGATGGCGCTCCCACAACTTCCGAGGGCAAGCTGTTCCGTTGGTTGATTGTTCTCACTGTCAGAAAGTTTCTCCTTATTTCCAGGTTGAATCTCTCCTTGTTCAGTTTCCATCCATTATTCCTTGTATGGCCTACAGGTGCTTTAGAAAACAGCTTGACCCCCTCCTCTCTGTGGCAGCCCCTCAAATATTGGAAGACTGCTGTCATGTCTCCCCTGGTCCTTCTTTTCACTAGACTAGCCATGTCCAGTTCCTGTAACCGTTCTTCGTATGTTTTAGTCTCCAGTCCCCTAATCATCCTGGTTGTTCTTCTCTGTACTTTTTCTAGAGTCTCAATATCTTTTTATAATGTGGTGAACAAAACTGGATGCAGTACTCTAGGTGTGGTCTTACTAAGGCTTTATAGAGTGGTATTAGTACCTCACATGATCTCGATTGTATCCCTCTGTTAATGCAATTTAGGATTGCATTTGCTTTTTTGGCTGCTGCTGCATACTGCTGGCTCATATTTAGTTGGTTGTTCACTAAGACTCCAAGATCCCTCTCACAGTTACTGCTATTGAGCCTGGTTTCACCCAGTCTATATGTGTACTTTTGGTTTTTCTTGCCTAAGTGTAGGACTTTACTTTTCTCTACATTGAATTTCATTTTGTTAGATAGGGCCCAGTGTTCTAGTCTGTCAAGATCCATCTGGATCTTGAGCCTATCTTCTTGGGTGTTAGCTATTCCTGCCAGCTTAGTATCATTTACAAATTTGGTAAGTTCCCCTTCTATTCCCTCATCTAAATCGTTAATGAAGATATTGAAGAGTACTGGGCCTAAGACGGAACCTTGTGGCACCCCACTGCTTACTTCCCTCCACGTAGACTTAGACCCATTAAGGACTACTTGTTGAGTACGGTTTGCCAGCCAGTTGCGAGTCCATCTAGTGGTGGTGCTATCTATTCCACTTTTTTCTAGCTTATTAAGAAGTAGGTCGTGGTCTACTTTGTCGAATGCCTTGCTAAAATCTAAATATATTATGTCCACAGTATTTTGCTGGTCTACTAATTTAGTCACTATGTTGAATTACATAGCCTAAAACTGTAACCCTAAAAAATACGAGATGGAATCCCATCATATATTTCCTATTTGCAGAAAAATCTGTATATTGATGAACTCCTAGTTTCATGCCTCCGGGAGTCACTTTTTTGGGAATATTAAATATAAATTTAATAAAAATCAAATAATAAAATAAATACTTGACACCTAAAATATGAATATCATTCCTTCAACTGACAACACCTGTCCTTAGCAGATTTAATGAGCTGCTATGCTTAAAACAGGCAATACTTGCAAGCATTCTGTGTGTCTTGGCAAAGCTGTGGAGTTAAAAATATTCCATCTCACACAATCTCAGAGAGCCTTATTAATAGCAGAGGGTCAAAATATCTGGAAGCCTTCAGCCAGCCTGCAAATGGCTTGCTCCTGTTTTTCTAGCAAGATTTTCTCGTGTAAACCACAGTTTGTCAACATCCTTTTCCAATGAGAAGGCAAGATGATAAGCTAATGAATAAATGCAACACATCTCTCCATTTACAACTTTCTTTTTAAGATGTGGATATGGCTTATTTTCACAGCCATAATTTATATAGAGGAGAAAGGAGTACATATTATTTATTCAGCATCAATGTAGAAAATAGAGAGGTTTCCAGTATTGTCCTGGGTATAGCATAAGACAACAGAAGGAAACGTTAGAAAAAGAGAGTATGTAAGTACGCATACACATCAAGGACAAAAAGATGACTCCTTGCATACATAATTATATTTAATCTAGTATTTGCACGCAACACCCTGAGGTGACCATAACATGAGAAAATAGAGTTTCAGAGCTGGTATAAACATTCGCAAATGAAAACATTTTCTCGGCATGAAAAATATGTCACGAAAGAGCAAACTAGCATATCAGGAAATGAGTTGTACAGAAACTTGGTGCCACTTAGTCCGTGTGCCTCTATCAAAATAGAAGATATCTGCAGGGACCAGTTGTTCAAAGAGATCTTTGAAAA